CCTTTTAGATCTTACAGGCAACAGCTGCTAATGATTCCATACTTTTAAGCTCTAGAGGAGCTCGAACTGGGTGGCACTGCTTCTCTCTAGCAATGTGGTTGTTTTGGAGTGGCCTCCCCTTAGAGATCAGACTCGCCCTCTCCCTCCTGGCCTTTTAGAAGCTATAAAATAATTAAAAGCCCAATTATTCTAGAGGGCACTTTCATGATTTTACTGACTTAATATATTGCACCATTTTTATTATTCCATTCTTTTATTTATTGCCATGTCAGTATTCCACAAAGATATTTCAATTGTCTTTTTCCCATTTCCACTAATCCCGGAGCCTATGTTTTAGTGAGGTAGACGAGCCATAAGATTCTAAGATACAGTGGGTGTTGCGTGTGTCCCTCTCATCCCTCACCAGTCATTTGTCATCTTTCTCCTTTTTCTCCCATCCTAACAATTCAGAGAAGGTGATAATAACCAATTGACTCCCTTCATTGAAAAGGGACAGCCCTGATCTCCTTTGCAAAGAGTCAGTGACTCATTGCTTTTATATTGGTGCTTCTCTGTGGAAAAAGGAGGAATGTGACACTTCATAAGCATTCTTGTTAATAACAAGAGATGATATTAAGCTGCTTGGCATGCTTACTATTAGTCTATTCATTGCTCCCCTTTTCCATCCCTCTTGCCATCTGGGGCTTATGCAGGGCTTTTTTTGTCATAAAACGCCCAGAACGGAGTTCCGGCACCTTTTTTGGATGGAACTTTGTAGGGTAGGCAAGGCGGATTGTATGACATGTGTGAGTTTTGGCACCTTTTTTTTTTTTTTTTTTTTAAAGCACTGGGCTTATGTATGCCTTATTTTGATACCATCCTACAAAGCTTCCAAGATCTGTGCTGTGCTAGGTAAGATGGCATTAACATTACTTTTTCTATTCGATATATCCCACTGCCTACGTATTTCATCCACATGCTATATTGACAAATGCAATGGTTATATGGGGCTAAATTACTCAACAGAGTTAGCTACTGTCTGCATTTTTTCATTGCTGTGTAAGCTCTCTTTGCTTTGTTTAACCCTTATTCTTTGTTACTTCTGGCTCCAATATCATGCTGTGCTCTTTTTTTGCTTTTTTTTTTTGTAAATTAGGACTAATCCCTGCTGAGATTTATTCCTGAATAGACATGATTTTTTCTGTTTAACATTCTTGCTCAGAAGCTTTGTTGTTGGCACACTTGGGCCAATTCTACACACTTAAGTTTTCTAATGGGAATAAGCTAAAGCCCCTCTGATCTTTTAAAATTGGATAGAGTTTAAGATAATAGCTGGTTTTTAATCGCAATAGCTGGTTTTTAATTTAGAGGCCCTTTCAATGCAAAACATTATTATTTATATCACTTCCATAGTTATATAATGCTGTATACTATCATCTGCCTATTTCTTTTTTAAGCTCCAAATGAGAAAATGAAACAAGTTTTAAAAGCAACCATAGGAGAAGCTAAGGCACTGATTTCTAAGGTAAGATACAATATTGTTGGTGTGAAATATTTATGAGCCAGCATCTCTGTGTTATCAGAGACAACTATTCTTAGGCTGTTCAGAGAATAGCAGGAAGTCTGATTCTAAAACAAACCACTAATTGAAATAAGGTTGTATTTATTTAATGGCAATTCCTTGATTAAATAACCACATCTCTGGCCTCACACCTAATGTATTATAAAAAAAAAATTCTAAAGGATCAGATTTCTTATTTATTTATTTAACTGTCTCATAACGTAGATACTGTTTAATCACATAAACTCTAAATAGTTTACTATAATAAAAGCCATAATAATAAAAAAGCCAAACCCCCATTAAAATTTGTCACTCCAAACTTAAAAATTAACCAGAATTAAAATCCACCCAAAACAAAAAGGCAGTCCAGTTCTACCCTTTGCACCTGAATACCTACCACAACAGGCCTGTTTTTTTCAGTTTTTCTGATGTGCCAGCAACTTGGGAATGCTGTTTCATGGAGCTAATACTTGAAAAACAGGCTCTTAGATACTACTACTACTACTACTACTACTACTACTACTACTAATAATAATAATAATAATAATAATAATAATAATAATAATGTTGGAAGGGATCTTGGAGGTCATCTAGTCCAACCCCCTGCTCAGGCAGGAAACCCTGTACCAATTCAGACAAATGGCTGTCCAGTGTCTTCTTAAAAACTTTCAGTGTTGGAGCATTCACACTTCTGGAGGCAGGTTGTTCCACTGGTTAATTGTTCTAACTGTCAGGAAATTTCTCCTTAGTTCTAGGTTGCTTCTCTCCTTGGTTAATTTCCACCCGTTGCTTCTTGTCCTGCCTTCAGGCACTTTGGAAAATAGCTTGATTCCCTCTTCTTTGTGGCAGCCCCTGAGATATTGGAACACTGCTATCATGTCCCCCCTCGTCCTTCTCTTCATTAAACTAGACATACCCAATTCCAGCAGCCGTTCCTTATATGCTTTAGCCTCCAGAGCATCTTTAGCTCCAAAGAGCATCTTTGTTGCTCTTCTCTGTACTCTTTCTAGAGTCTCAACATGTTTTTTACATCGGGGTGACCAAAACTGGATGCAGTATTCCAAGTGTGGCCTTACCAAGGCACTGTAAAGTGGTATTAAAACTTCACATGATCTTTATTCTATCCCTCTGTTAATGCAGCCTAGCACTGTGTTAGCTTTTTTGGCAGCTGCAGCACACTGCTGGCTCATATTTAAATGATTGTCCACTAGGACTCCGAGATCCCTCTCACAGTTACTACTATTGAGCAAGGTACCCCCTATACTATACCTGTACATTTTTCTTGCCTAAATGTAGAACCTTTCTTTTTTCATCATTGAATTTCATTTTGTTAGATAGTGCCAACAAATAGGTACCATAGATAGTTCAAAAGAAACCTGATAGATTTGAACACCGGATGCTAACCAACAAATATTATGCAGTGATAAATGTAAATTTCAACAGTTAGATAGGAAAAATCAGATGCATAGGTACAAGGTAGGTAGTCCCTGCTTTGGCAGTAGTACTCAGGGAAGAATCTGAGAGTTCTGGTAGATTACAAATTAATTATGACCCAGCAGTGTTCTTTAGCTCTCCAAAGAAACAATACTTAAAGATATTGGCAAATAATACAACCATTGTAACACAAGTATGCTGCTATTCCTGACAATAGCCAGGCTGCTACATTAAGCAACTGCAATGTCCAAATCATCTTAAAGGTGGTCCCATGTTAAGTCTGTAGTCTAACTGGTGATAATAACATGAATCGCTATCAAAAAGGATTGCAGCTGACACACTAGTTAAAGCTAGGAAAAGATTCATGCTAAAATGCTAAATTCATGCTAATGCTAAAATGGCAGTTGTGACCTCTTCTGGGACCTCCAGCTTGGCCTAGCCAGTGATTTATTGCTCATGTCATGCTGACAAATGAGCTTAGGTGTTAAATAACATGGAGGAGAGAGAGCTCCATCCTGTGCTACACTAACAGAACCAATAGTCCAAGTGGGCCATTCTTATGTCTATCAGAAGGAACGACCTACTTAGGAAGTGGAGGAAAATAATATCCCTGATTGCCAATCCCTGCAGACAGTCCCAAAGGGTATTTGTGATCAAACGTTGTCAAGTGATTTAGTAGGACAAGGAGGGATGTACTTACTCTCCAAGTCTTGATGCAGTTCATTTAGCAGTGACCAATGTAGACTTGGTCCCATGCCCAGTTTTGAATCCTGACTGTAGATGATTCCAATAATCTATTTCATCCAAGGATTTCCTTTAGCTGAAGCTCCAACAACTCATTCCATAGTGAATATTTTAGTATGTGAAAGGTTAAATTTAATTTGGTTCATAACTACATTTAGTTGTGAATAATGGTTGGATTCTACTATCCAAAGAAAGGTTATTAATTCCTGCATACTTAAGACTTGGAAATTATTTTGGAATAATTGCAAAAGAAAATATGCCTGCAATTATTATAGCTTACAATAGCCCTCCATTAATTTGGCTTTTTGTTGTTGACCAAGTAGAGTAATCAGTAACTACACATTTATAAGTATATAAATATTTATATAATTTGCATAATGCATATGAAGTCCCTTTGGACAGATGTATTTTAATTGAAATTGAATTACTACAAATATAAAAGGGCAGAGTAAGGGCAGATTTTTTTTTGAAGTAGATTAGCTGTGTAGAGCAATGGGAGAAATGTTTAATCCCCATAATTTTTTTCAAAAAATATCTAAACATCAAGAGATGAAATAATGTTTCATGTCTGCAAGGAATCCTCCTTCTTGCTTCCTATTCAGATTTGAAATAATTATTTCAGTAAATCAATAACCATTAATTTCATTAGAAAAAACAAGCAGATGTCAATTTTAGCAGACATTTTAAAATGTTTAATATTATTAATTCTGAATAGATGATAAATTGGTAGTAGATAATGCTAATGGACAGAGAAATGTTATTCTAAAAATGGGGAAAATATTTTTTGTTATTTGCCTTTATCTCATACTGTGCTGTCATTGTAGATTTCAGAGGAAGCATTCTTTCTTCCATAGTGTATTAGTTTATTCATTTAAGTTGCTTCTCTCTGTATTGTAGGAACAAATGGAAGCCAACGTATGCGTTACTACCAGTATGGTGAAAGATGCACTCGACCAGCTCCGAGGAGCTGTAATGATTGTTTATCCAATGGGGCTCCCTCCATATGACCCAATTAGAATGGAGTTTGAAAATAAAGAAGATCTGTCAGGAACTCAAGTAAGCATTAGTTTTGATTTAATGATTTTTTTTTTTAAAAAAAAATATTGTTCTTCCTAGAGAGATGTTTGTAAAATGTAATTGATTCATTATCTACATGTTTATTTGGTTTCTAGACTGCTGTACAGTATATACATTTTTTACATAGTGTTATATATTTACACTAAAAAAAGTCATTTTTCCCTTGTTATTTTTTCATTGCAAGAAAATAAATTCCCCTTCTGTTACCTCCACTTGGTAACTGGAATTGTTGGGAAAAAAATACATCTTAAAAATGTTATGTATTAGACTTAGAAATCAATGATAATGCTGAAGATTTTATTGAAAAAAACTGATGATGGAGTATGCCACCCCTCATCACTATTAAGTCTAAGCATTTTTAAGTCCTTATATTTCCTTCATTAAGAGTTAGTTAACTAATCAGCCAAAATCACTTCACTGCTGTTCCTACCATTCTGCAAAAAAAACATTTATATGTTCTGATGTGTCTCTCTCTCTGTATGTGAGTGAGTGTGTGTGTGTGTGTGTGTGTGTGTGTGTGAGTGTGTTACTGGTGATTTTTAATAACTAAATGGTAGATGAGCAATTCTCTTTTTGAGATCTCTTAGATAGATCTCAACAATGTTCTAAGGCAGTGTTTCTCAACCTGGACAATTTTAAGGCATGTGGACTTCAATTCCCAGAATTCCACAGCCAGCAATGCTGGCTGTGGAATTCTGGGAGTTGAAGTCCACATGCCTTAAAATTGTCAAGGTTGAGAAACACTGTTCTAAGGAATCTTTTAACCATTCAGAGCAGATTTAAAGGCTACAGAGAGTAGTACAAGGAAGGGAAGGAAGAAGGTCTGGGGTATGAGTAGATTTCTGCTTGTGTGCCATTGGATTCTGCCTGTTGTAAAGCTCAGTTTGTTACAGGCAGCCCTTGAGGTTATTGAAGAACCAGAGGCCCAGCTGTGGTGGGCAGCAAAGGAACTCAAAAGAACAAACCAGCTTTCTGACTATGTTGGCAAAAATGAGAAAACTAAAATTATCATCAAAATACAAAAAGTAAGTACTTGTGACTTAAGAGTAAAGTGAGAGTCTTTATACAGGTTTACACTCACCCAAAGCAATATTTTGCCAGATTTATTATGTTTTAGATTTTATTATGTTTTATATTATTTATCTTCATACAGGTAAGCATGCTGTTCAAAAGCAAGGCAGACCTCATTTACTGGTGTAAAAATGATTGTGGGATAATCATACTTCTGCACTACAAACAATATTATGGCAAGCTGTCCCTCTGCTCCAGTTTGAAGGAAGCCAGATTTAGCTGCTGAGTGTCTCACAGTACAGAGAAACTTGCCTTTGTAAAGCAGAAGTAGAGAACATGATTCATTCCACGTGTGGCTGAATTACAGCCTCTAACATTCTTCATCATTCATCACAAAGACATTGCAATTCAATATCTGGAATTATGTGTCGTCTATTCCTGCTGTAGAGGGACTAATGTCTGCCCCTCCTGACATTTTATTCATCATATCAATAGGTATTCCATTGTCAGAATAAGGCAGGTTGAAATATATTAATTTCTGTTATGTTTCAAGAAAGGGCAAGGAGCTCCAGCACGTGAACCTGTCATAAGTGGCGAGGAACATAAACAGATGATTCTTTTTTATCACAGAAGACAAGAAGAACTCAAGGTATCAGGTGTTGTTGCTCTGTTACTCTATTGAAAACAAGATATTTACATTTTGTTTGCAATATATGTATAATTCATTTTCTTTTCATGTTTTTCAGAAATTAGAAGAAAATGATGATGATTCATTTTTAGATTCCGAATGGGCTGATAGTCATGCCTTGAAAAGACATTTTCATGGTGTCAAGGATATTAAGTGGAGACCAAGATAAGTTATTTTGGCAAGAAAAAATATTTTTAAGATAAAACTAACACAGCAAGTTACATAGGTAACATCAATGCACATTTACTCATTAAAACTAAATATTAGATTTTTATTTATTTATAATGTTGATTGCCTTGTAGTCAATAAATCTATATTATTAGGATTGTTGCTCGTATTTTTTTAAAAAATACTGACATGCTCTCATATTATTACTAAAAACTATTATTAAAAACAATAAAATTGTCCCTCTCCTTACATTTTTGCATTCTAAATAAAATTATTCAAATTAGTATGGCTTAGCTTAGAAGGAACTGAGTTTATTTTTAAAAACAGGGAAACTCAAACTTTGTGAAGGAAAAAATATTATATACTAGGAAAGTTTCCAGAAAACATTACGCCTTACCAATACTGGTTTAGAATATATATAAGGAATATCAGACAATCTAGTTGGGAAGATACAATCCTTTAATAGTGCAAGTAGAAGAATCTGACTACACTGTGCCATGTTTGAATGATACAGTTTCTGCTCATGTTCAGCCTGCAATTTGTTCTAAGTATACAAGGCGTGTTTAGAGAAGATGATATAAATTAATTTTCAGATTAGATAACTGAGCAGAAACAGCACTGAAATATCTAAAACAATCACATAAGGGAATTTATCTTCTAGAGGCAATAGTAGAATTTGAAAGGGGATTTATTTTCATTTCCAATGTTCACTTTTAATAGCAGTCCTATTGAAAAAATTTATTGCCTATTTATAAATACAAGATTTTTGAATCAAATGAAGCCCACAGCCTATAATTGAATACTGCATAATGGTTGGAGGTTACCAATTAGTTAATCTAGTTCAACTTCCTGCTCAGTGCAGCAATCCATTACACCAGACATGTCAAACGTATTGGAGCTTTTTCCCCATTGACGGCAATGGGGTGGGCGCAGTTTTCTTGTGATGCGTCCGGCCCGCGGGCTGGCACTTTGACACCCCTGCATTACACCATCCTGTTTGAAAACTTTTAAATACATTGTATTTCGTCCTCTGTTTATGAAAACAATGGTTTTTATTCTCCCTGAGAATATAACATCCAGCAGATAACTAATCTCTTGAAATTGTAAAATTTATGAAGAGTCACTGAAGGAAAATAATTTGACTATTAACTTTCCTTCAGTAACTTTTCATAATTTTCATAGTGCTTTGAATCCTTAAAGATGTATTTTTAAAAGATATCTTTATTAGATTTTTTAGTAGAGATAAAAACTAAGAAAAACATCTAAAGATAGAAAAAAGTAAAGAATGAAAGAACAATGCCAAAATTGCATAAAGATAAAGAAATACAAAAAATGACTTTTTGTTTTCTTTTACAACAGATATAAGTATAAATTTATATTAAACTCATATTCTGTTTCACACAAAAAGTCCAAAAGGGTTTTCCAGTCAGCATTAATTTAATGTCTTTTCTCTAATGAAAGCTGTTAATTTTGCGATTTCAGTCCGCCATTCATTCTTCCATTATCGAATCTTTTCATTGTACATACAATTTTTTCACTAATGATTCCATCTCCTTAAAAGGTATTTTAAGGAGCGGAATATTTTGCTTGTCCTCTTGCATTATTTTCTTGAATTAAATGAATAATAGTGGCATTGGTCAGCTCCATTGGTTATGGGTGAAGCACATTCCTTATATCATCTTGTATGTATGAGAAAATACCTATCTATGCAGATCTGCCTACTCATGTACTTGTTCAAGTGGACATT